CAAAAGAGGGGTGATGAGCAGGTCGATGGAGGTAATTCTGCCCCTCTCCACTCCCTTGAAACCCCAGATGGAATACTACTTCCAGCCCTGGTGGCCCCAACATAAGAAGGACATAGATCTGTTGGAGCAAGTCAAGAGAAGGGCCATTAAAACGATTAGAGAGCTGCAGCCCTCTTCTATGAAGATAGGTTGAAGGAGATGTGGTTGTTCAGCCTGGAGAAGAGAAGGCTCCAGGGAGACCTTAGAGCAGCCTTCGAGTACCTAAAGGAGGCTACAACAGAACTGGAGAGGGACTTTTTGTAAGGGCAAGCAGTGATAGGACAAGAGGCAAAGGCTTTAAACAGAAAGAGGGCAGATTTATATATATTAGGAAGAAATTCTTTACTGCCAGGGTGATGACACATTGGGACAGGTTGCCCAGAGGAGTTGTGAATGCCACATCCCTGGAAGTGTTCCCCACCAGGTTGCACAGGGCTTTGAGCAACCTTGACTAATGGAAGGTGTCCCTGCCCCTGACAGGGGAGTTGGAACTTGATGATCTTTAAGGTTCCTTCCAACTCAAACCATTCTAACATTCTGTGATCTTCTTTCACACATCTTTTTGGTCACCTCTAAGGTTGTGTACACCTTTAGCAAATACCACCTTCATGTCCACATCTTCTGTCAAGGAATTCAATTGCTCACTTACATTCTGCATGCAGAACCACCTCATTTTATTTACTTTGAAACTGCCTCCTGCTAGGAGACAACTGCTACTCGCCAGTCTTGTTTCTCAGCTCCTTTGATCCATCATTCAAGGCTCTAATTTGCAATGCTGCAAAGGTCTGAACCCATCCAATGTGATCATGCTGGTAGGTGGGTGAACTGCAGTAATCAGCAAAATCCCTCACAGAAGACAAACACAATTTGTGAAGTCACAGTCTGCAACGCCAGGCATGGCTGACATTCCTGGCATTTCTCAAGAGCCATAAGTGAAAACCAAGAACTCTGACACGAGCCAAAAGCACACTTCGGCTTAGTTCAGTAGTTCAACAAGCTCGACTTGGACACCACTGAAGGACAGAACAGCATTGTGGGATTAACTCCCACTGTTTTGTATCAGGTCTTGTTCTCAGGATGGTGACTGTATGACAACAAATACATCAGTTTGCTCAGACAAGCATAAATGTTGGAATACTCATACACTATACTGAAACAAATAGCCAGACCCTAAGGACACCAAGGATATTTACGCAAATTCTTATAAAATTTAACTTCAGTTAGTGCTGACCTAAATTAAATCCATATCCTTTTTGCTGTTGTACTAGTACACCTTCCCTGTTCCTCCACAACATTTATTATAACCAGTATAATATACCTTAAAGCAGAAATTGTTGCTTCTTTGTGTTTCAACAGCTACAAATGGAGTCTCACTGATTACAACTCCTGGAAAAGTACCGAAAAGCTTGTATTTTAAGTTTTGTTGTATTTACCTGCCAACAAAATCAGTTATATTTCCAAGACAAAACCAGTTCCTGTGGCTTGAAAATGGCAGAATCCATATTTAAGTTATCTTCAACACTGAGTTTCAAGCTACTATTTAAATTAAGAATTACTGTTTTACTCCTCTTGACAATCATTTTTCATTTAGAGTTTCGCTTTTGAAGTATTATTAATGTATTTTAACTGATTGAAAGAGGATAAACTCAAATGTACATTGAGCAGCTTTATATAGCCCCACGTTATAACATAAGAACTCTGTGCCTTTAACAAAAAATTGCTGATTTTATCACATGAAGTTTAGTGTTCTATCATAGTGCTTACACTGAATTTCAAATATTCCAACACATGTATAAACACGTGAATCCTTTTTTTTATTACAACATCAAAAAATTAAGTAAGTGTGATCTACAGACAATTCAAATGTTGTGTATTTTTGTCTGCAGTCAAACAAGTACATTCACAATTAGTAAAATTGTGAATAAAAATAAGTCATTATAAATAAATAGGTTATTATAAATAAATCAATAAATAAGTTGATACTATACTGTCTGTCTACATGCTCAAAGCTTAGGCAACACTATATACTCAGTTCCTTCACATGCAACTTCCACTTAACACACTTCCACAAGGACAGCACTTCTTTACATTTGCTGTTACATGAGAATGCATGCCTTTACTGTATCATTCCTAACAGACCGTACAGGCTCAGAGCAGCAGCTTTTGGGTATTTTTATTGGGGGGAAGGAGCAGGTCACACTTTATATTGGCACAAATGCTTGGTTTTCACAGCTTCTGTCACCACTGACAGCACTTACAGGTAGGTGCAAGCAACGCCATAAACAAACAAGAGCTACATACATATATTTGGATTTAAAATCACTTGCTTATCATCATACGTGATCAAGCAAAGCCAGTTCTCAATTCTCTTTTCCTTTAGCTGTGTGTGTAGCTTGCTATATTCCTTTCACATTTAACATAAACCAGCCTGCAGGCACTGAACAACACTGCTTGAATCACCAAGCACTGTTTATCACAAGCACTAAACAAATAGGATTTCTGTGTGGAAAAGTGATCTAAAATGATAATATGCAAAAGGAGTTCAAAAATAGTTTAAGTAAACTTGTTACACATACATCTTGATTCTTGCATATTTTGACTGTAACCATAGCATCATTTGAGATACTATGGATACTAAAATTTACATGGGCTCAATCAAGAGGAACACTTCACAGAGGGAAAATCCATGAGATCCTGTTAAATAATACACTGTCACCCCCAGCTCTGTTTCTCTCTGAACTGTGAATCATTAAAGGCTGGAAGAAGCCGGAACAGATTGCCCAGAGAGGTGGTAATATGCCTCATCACTGGAAACATTTAAGGTCAGGCTGGACAGGGATCTGAGCAACCTGATCCAGTCGAAGATGACCCTGCTCACTGCAGGGGGTTGGACTAGGTGGGCTTTGCATTGCCTGTCTCCAAATGTTTATGAAGTTGAGCAGTAACACTGGTACCATCTTGCCTTTTATAAGTGGTTTACAACCATCCCATTAATAAATGTGATTTAAAATATCATACATAATACTAATGATTTATGACATAAGTTTAACAATGTAAAAATGTGATGAAATTTTTTTAAGGATATAAATCAAACAATTTCTGAATGTTATTTATCTCATTTACCGCCTTCACTTTCTAGCTACAAATAAACCTCACACAGTTGTATTACAGTAATACCCAAAGTTTTGTTTCTAAAATATTAAATATATGTATCATATGATATTAATTTATCATATAATTTATTGTTGTCTTTTATTTATTTATGTAATTATTTATTATATACCATATATAAATTTAATGTTTATGTTAATATTTATATGCATGCAATATATAACATAAATACCAATAAATTATATATATAGTATATAATAAAATGCTACATAAATACATGAAAGACATCATCTTCACCTCAGAAGTACTTGTTGTAGGCCAGGATAAAGTGGATTACCAGAAAAACGGAGTACTCAATTATCTGAATTACTTGAGAGCTAGTTTGGTAAAGGTCATCTGAGTTCCACAACAGTTTTGAGGAAAAAAGTGAATAAGCAAATAATCACAACTGACGGATAAGAATCTTTTACATGCCCCAGGGTAACCCACTACCATCACTAAGAAACTGAATCCACAGCCAGCTTGATTCCATCAAACGGGTTTAGCACTCATCTTGTCAGCATATTTAAACAGCCCACAGCACACAGTAATTCATTCTTCTGGCTGAAGCAAAAAAACAAACAACTAAACATGTGGCCACCTTACATAATATTCACAGAACAAGGAAGAGGCACCACGAGTAAAGAGCAGACAATTCAATAATTCAAAACCAAACCCGAACAGAATAAATAAACCACAAAACCCAAACAAAACCAAGGGTGCATTCCTAAAACTACAAAACAACCAAATGTAAGTATCAAAATTCTGATTCATTTTAGCAGTTAAACTTTCAACATCCATTTTACCTGAGTCATTACATAGCAGTGAGTCTGTTTCCAAGTGGTATAAAGTACTAATTTTTAGAAAGTAGCCCTTCATAACCTTAAAACCACACGACAATTAACACAGAATCAGACTGAACAGGTTTTACCAAGTAATTGAGAAAAATGGCAAGCTATAAAAACCACCTTGGATTCAGTACAAGTCTAAAGCCTTTAACATTTCTAGCACTAGTCTTTTGACATGCTTGAGCCAGTGTAATAAAAGGCATCTCAATTTTACAAAGAATTCCCTACAACAGAAAACAAAACTCAAACCCTACTTCTAGCCAGACACAAAGTATACACTTGTGATAACATCTGATCCTGAAATACCATTCAAAAGAAGTCAAATATTGGAAAAAGCATATATCTCCATGTTAAAGTGTCCAAAACAGTACTTTCAAGAAGACATTTTGAACACCCACTAGCACTAGTCTTACGTTTAGGAATTGCTTTTAAGAAAGGTAGGGGTGTGAGATTCTTCCCACCCATCTCCTATCTGTGCAATTAGCACTTTCGAGTGCCATCCCACTCCCAATACTATTTAATATGTGTGCATCAGAGATAAAACTTAGTCTTTATGGACTGCTTTTATGACTGCTTAGTTTATGCAATTGAAATAGAATAACAAAACATCTGGAAGTTTGCTACAAACTTTCCAATCAAAAAGAAAGAATTCAAAGTAAAAAATACATACAATGAACCTAAGTAAAAGAGTTCAGAAATAAATAAAACAATCCAAAGAACATTTCTAAACCTCTCCCTTCTCATTTTATTCCCCTTCATTTAAATAAAAAATGTTAATAATTTAAGCTTTAGGTCACAGCAGATAACCAGTTTATCAAGTTATTTTTCAATTTTATGGTATCCACCAGATATTACAAAAAAGACTTTTTTTTTTTAATCTACCATCTTTTTTTTAAAGTAAAACTGAAAAGCTGCAGTGATAAGTAATTTTTTAAGTGCTTCAAAGAAAGTGTCCATACTCACCAGCACTGCCACTTTCTGATTTTTCTTCTGATTGGCTTTCTGGAAAAAAAATAAACAAAAAAAGGAATCAATCTTTCTGTGTTGTTTATTCAAAATTACATCTGAAAAGTGGGTTGGAAAGCAAAGAATGATAAATTACGACAAAATCGCAATCACTGGACTTGATTAATATTTACAAATTTACTTTCTGAAGAATAATTTGCCACTAGTAGCAACAAAAGAATTCCTTTAGTGCCCAAATTCAAAATGAGAGAAATGAAAGAACTCTATTACACCTCTGACTGAGGTCTGCAAGAATGAAGCTGCATATTTATGCAAAATCAGTAGTAAGATTATGCTTAAGCAAAGCACATTATTAATCTATCTCACTGGTCAGCCTAGATAAAACAAATACAATTTTTGTATATTAAAAAAATAATCAAGGTTTTGCAAAAGAATGCTCTTAATAGGCACTAGGTAGATTTTTGAACTTGATCAACCTCTTCTCTACTCTTTTTACAAACCACACAAAAATTTATTTCTTCAACCTTTCTCCTTCCCGGTTGTTTGTTGTCTTAGTTTAAAAAGACACAAATGTTTGCTAAGGAGGGCGGGTTAGGAAGAAACAAGAAACCAAACTCCTCCAAGTTATTCTAACTTTGAAATTAAGAGGCTTCAGGTGAAAGGTGTGGAAAAGGAAAATAACAGCTCTTTATTAACATATATATAACAAATCCAAATAAGCAACAGTGGTGCAACCAAAACTTTCAAAACAAGTCCTGCTTTCCCAGGTGGTGGCCTCTGTGGCTCCCTGTGAGATTCACGGGCTGTCTGCGGGCTGTTCCCGGCAGCTCAACAACTGCTCACAGCCACAGGAGCAACGGCGGCGCCACGGCAAAAAATGAAGGGGGATTCTCTTTTCAAACCTATAACATTTGTCCTCAAATGGTACCATATTATAGCCCATTTTATCTGTTTGTCACGTATTTGTACTTGTCAAGTACACCAAATACACATAATCTGAAACATCACCTCTTCCACAGAGCAGAGAATCTTAAGTATGAAAGAAGGAGAAACAGGCACAGTGCTGCAGAGTGACTTGCCGAAATATTATCACTCAAGTGAATGGCAGGGTCAGATTCAGAAACAGTTTTCTGCAAGAAATTCCAATCCCAAGTTTCAAGAAATGGCAGACAGTAGATGTATTTTGGTGAACTGAGTTCTAACACTTACACAGTCCTATGAAATTAAACCCCTACATAAATTTGTCAAGCTTATATTTGACTGTTCCTCCTACATTTCTCCTTTTTACACATCTTCTAAGGCAGAGGATATAAAGAACATTTTCACCTACCCAAAATACAGTTAAAACCGGTAAAATATACTTGTCTTTGGCTTTCAACTCAAACAAGTCACAGCTATTTACTTACAGACAAAACTGAATTACTGCTCTAACTCAAAGACTAATTTTTTAGTTGTTAGGTTGATCATTTCTGCCACTTACAGGTTGAGTATTAATAGAATTGAAAACAAGAAATATTTTAAAAAAATCTTTTTCTTGCCACTGATTCTTGCTGGCTTTCAAGGCTGATGTCCCTCTTTTCTCACTGAGATTGCTGACAGCCTGAAGATTAATGCAAATCTAAAAACCAGTCTCCCACCAATCTTTCTTTCTTTATACCAGGTGGCTGTCGTTGGTCTCAGCAACTGAAGGCATCTGCTTTTTCAATCAGAAACCATCACTATATAGTCTCCTCCGAGCTATGAGCCTTCATAAAGTGAATAAAGATTCCTGATAACTTTCAGATATACATGCAGGATAGCCTGTTTGCAGAAAACCCTGCATTTTCTTGTTGACACTATTTTTGGTGTGTATTTAGCACAATTACATCATAATGTTATTACCCAACCAATACCCTAACTCAGTTGTAACTTAATTAAGGAAACATTCAGTACACGAGATGCAAAGAGGTTAATGAAGAACATAAGAACATACCAAGATATGAACACCTGTCTGGACTGAGATGTGAGATGCAGCTGGGTTAAAAGCTGTTTCATTTTTAACTCTGTTTCAAGGGAAGACCAGTCACCTAGCCAAAACTATAGCCAAAGAATCACACTTAAACATTGCTAATAGCATCTCTGATTCAAATAACAATACATGTATATTATGTCTACAGGGGGAGTGTACTTGTCACAGATAAAGGTCAATAGGTTGGGGTAGGTTAGTTGGGTTTTTTTGTCCTTGCTGGGGGTTTTTTTGCTGTTGTTGTGGTGACAGGGTGTTGGGATATTGTTTTTTACATGTACATCCGTGAAACTGAAAAAAACAAAGATATTTTAAGTCAATAAAGCAGGCAGAAAGACTATTCTCATCACAGTGAGCTCGTTCTAACATACCATATAATCTGTGTGTCATATCCTCAATTGTTTAAATTTGTGTAGGAATTAACAGTCTGTAGTTTTAATAACAGAAATGAAAATAAGATTAGCTTATCCCTGCCAGCCAGCTGAGCCTCCTTTACAGTAATTTTTTAATCATCCAACATGCATATAAAGTAATTAAATAAATATAATTTCCATTTTTTTTGCCATGGAGAAGGGGTATGATGTAAGCAGTTGCAATTGTTTTCTAAATGGACTTTTTGACACAATAATACACACAAAATTTTGAGCCATCAAAATGATGTCTGTAATTAGACTAGCTTGAGTCACACATTCTGCTCTTCTGATCACAGGTTTCATCTTTATGATCCTCAAAAATATTTGGAAATTTGCATAAATGCCAGAGATCTGAAAGGCTGCTGTTATTTCTATTTCTTTTGATCGTGAGGCTGCTGATAGGTTTTCTGTTTCTGCTAACAGTCCACAAAAGACTAAAGTACACAACGGAACAAAGAAGCATTAAGTAAGATCCCAAAGTGTTTTGCAGGCTGGAATATGTGGTTAAGTGACAGCCTGAACAGAGACAATTGGGAAGTACCGTTATAGTAGACAGGTAAAACATCAAAACCCCTCAGCAGGCTGTGCTAAGATGGCGAAACAGCGAGGGTGTTTATTTCCCAAGTAACAGTTTGATGAGGAACTTCAGAATTCAAACATTTATCTAACAAGAGTGGAAGTAGTATTACAAGGCATCAAGATCCTGAGCACTATGTATTTTACCGAAAATAATTAAGTGTAATTAAAGAAGTAGCTGCTTGAATGAAAGATTTTCATTAGTGTTTCTTCCCCTCACATTACTTTAATGGTTGGATATATCTGATATGTAAAAATACATATATACAAAATACAGAATAAAAACCTCCGAATATTCATTTTCACTGAACACAATTGTGCATTGTACATTATACGGCAGGTGTGATTCATGTACAAACTCAGAAAAGGTCCTTTTGTAAATGAGAAGCTGCATAAAGGGAAAAAACCCAACAATTCAAAACAGTGGGAGAATTTTCAAGGAATGTGGGAATAAAGAAGCTGTTCTAAGGTATATAGCGGAGTTATGTGTTTTACTGAACAAGAATACAAAAGAAAGAATTGAATGTCATGAATTGAGTTTCTGAAAGAGAAGACTCAGAAAACAGGAGAAAAACACAATGCTAAAAGACAGAAATGTTCTGTGAAGCATGAAACAGTGAGACAATCCATGCACGAATGCTGCTCAGAAGCAAAGCTCTGGCAGGTATTCTGTCAATGGAATTCTCTGAACATGTTTTACTTTCGGCAAGATTGAAAGAGCACGAAAGACTTTAAAGACACAAAAACAGACATTAAGGCAATCCCACTTATGAAGGGGGAGTTGTGAAGATATATTCAAAATTTCAATAAAATGAATCATCTCACCCAACTTTACAGAAATATCTTATACTTTATTTGTGTCTACATTGTAAAATCTTCTTCTCCACCCATCAGTCCTTTACAGTTTGGGATGCAATTGCTTGCCAAGGTCTGTGTTTTCCCAAGTCACATTAGTAGCGCATTTTTCCAAAAAACAGCTCAGTAAGAAACATTTATCATTATCTCTAACAAAGCCGCATTTTTCATTTATATTTAGATCCTGCAAACCTAAACTACACGCTGACAGAAAAATTAAGCATCAGGCAATTAAAGCAGGAAGGGAACTAATTTAAAATCACAATCAGAAATGTTTGCTGTTAAATGTTTAACAAAAGAGTCTTCCTCTTCCTTCAACCAAGAAAGAAACTGTTAAATTACAGCACTATCTTATGCCAGGGTGTCTGCCAGTAGGAAGCTCAGAAAACAATTTTAACCAAATATACTCTATATACCAGGCCCATGAATTGCCCCTAGATAGTTTGTAGCTATACATAAGATAGATTCCTTTTATTCAATACATTAAAATATAAGCAAGATGCTCTCCTTTCCACCCACCCTAAAAATTACAGCTATGATAGCTGATGACAAAGAAAAAATAAAATGACTGGAAGCACAAATAGCATTGTTGCATAGCAACTGTTGATGTACATATGGTCATGTTTATGGAACAGAATGTAGTTCATATTTAATGCAGAAATAATACTGAAACCAGCCTCAACAGCAAGACCTAGACAGCAAGAGACAACTGTGCTTCGGATCCCTCTGCAGACATGAAGGAAGCCACACTTCCCACCAGCTTTGCTACACTGATGCTCAGGAACACCATCCCGCAGGCCTTAGCGATCTACCCAGCAATGAAGACAATGCAGTGTCTCACATGTGCAAACAGCCTTGCAAAGGAAGCAGGAACTACTACTTTCAGATTACATTGTACTACTCTGTATTACTCACTGGAGCTATTTCAAAATACAAAAACAGGAAAAGAAAAGAAACGGGAGAAACCCCCAGAGTTAGTCCAAACAGAACGTGCAGCATGTGCAAATAGACCAGATTTTTAATAGTATCTGGGATGGGAGCCGTTTTATCCAGCTTTATATTAACTCAGATCTAGTACATACACTGCAGAAGACCAAAAAACCAATTCATTAGGTGTTGGACATAACAAATTGCACTTCAGAAAAGCCTGCTGCTGTCCATTAACTAATACAGGACACCTAGAGATGCAGAGGTTTACAGTGAAAGAACTAAAGGATTTCTTCCAGTAAAACAGGTATTAGAAGCAAGCTCAGTTAAGACAAAGCAAAGCAAACCCCATAGAATATCCATTCAGAAGTCTAGAAATTACATCATACAGAAAATATTAAATTACTTGTCAAATTTGATCTTTTTTGCTTGCTCTAAATGACCTGATGAGTCGATGTGAAGTGCTGAATTATCCAGAATATGTGAACTCCCTGCAGCGTCTTCCAAAATTATAACATACTTCAGAAAGACCATAAGAAAGACACTACAACATAAGGATCACAGGATTAAAGGACTGTACACAGAATAGATCTTAAGGCATTCAATGTGCTCAAAAAAACGAGTGGAGGGGAATAAAACACAAATGCACAAACAAATAAACCACACCCTTTACAAAATAAAACAAACTGCTTTATGCCATTTGCTCCATTTTAGGTAAATTCAGTCCTCAAGAAGGACTGAGAGCAATAGTGCATGAAGCACTTTTTTATTCATATTTCATTTGCCTAATTCCCAAGATGTATCCTTCCAGATGCATGACATCTGCAGTTCCATACCAGCTTAATCTCTGGCCCATGGTTCAAACAGCATATTGGTTCTGTTACATGGTACACTTCACAAAAGGAAGAGGAATGGGACCACCAATGCTTTTCAGAAAAAATGTGCTAACTATAATATGAAGACAAGTACTAGGTCTGTGAACCTACAAATTAATGAACTTCAGCTTCCTATGACTGTCTCTTACTGTGGATTGACTGATGTGCAAAGATGTGTAAGGTTTTTTTGAGTGTTTTTCCATGGTTGATATAAACATTGTGGGTTTTTCCATGTTGCATGGAAAACAGGGTAGCAGCCTTTCTTTCAGCTGGGATATCCATACAGTTTCAGACACCTATTTCCACACTAGCCATAATTCACTATGAAATTTGTTGAAATTAGTCATGGAGCTCAAAACATACTGGAGATACACATTTAAAAACACAAGTATGGCTGCGGAAACACAGTGCCAGTAAGGAATCTGCATGGAATTTGGAATATTTGTGTCACATTCATTTTTACAAGCAAAAGAAGTCAGGCAAGAAAAGCTCAATAAAGTTTATGTTTGATTGCACTCTCAACACCAACTTAAACACAACAGCAAGAGATTTTAGCCATTTTGCACCCAAACCAGTTCCATGAAAACTCACTGACTGTATGTTAGGCTTGCTAATCTCAAGCAAAAACAATTTTGACAGGGTCTACGCTTATTCAGTGCTTCATTCCAAACATTTCTCATGTCACTAACTACCCTTTGCTCCCAATTAAAATAATAACTTCTACTCAGTAGATCCATAGCCCTTGAATAACATTTTCTGGTTGCTAAGAAATGCAAAATTTTTAACTAATTAAATAAAACAACTGGACAGGTTCTGAGTATCTAAAAGTTTTGAGACACTGGTATTAACAGATGATAGAACAGAGATAAATGGGCATCTTCTAACTACCACATAATGACTTTCATTCCAACTGATGACAAATACTCCACAATCCAGGTAAGCATCAGCACTCACTGTAGTTTAAGTTACTGTTAGAGGTTTCTGAAGCAATATTTTGTATCAAAAGTGTTTGGGATTTGCAGCAAACATGCAAAAGTCACTGAGTGTATATTCTAAACACATCTTCAAACCCAAAATCTCTTTCTTTTGTCAAGCATTCTAAGGTTGGGGCACAGAGAAAGGAAAAAGGATGAGGTACTACTAAAATGCTTGGAAAATTCTTGAAAACTTGCTTCCTATCTCTTTCCACATTTGTAATCTATGAATTACAAATTCCAGCATTTTTAAAAAGTTGCAAGTCATACACAGAAAAATACAAATTTTTTAAAGTGAAAAACCAATAACACTATCACATTAATTTCAGAGAAAGGGATAACAAATGAAAAGCCCCTGTGTTGTAGCATAAGTGCTTTTATACCTAAACACAACTGAGATAGCCAAGCTACTTGTACCTTAATATCTCACTGTTCAGTCATTAAAGCTTTAAAATAGATTTTAAAAAGGAGGTGGTCAAACCTACTAAGTATTTTAAGTCTGTCCTATGAGTTACAATTCTCCTTCCTTCATTTATTTATCACACTGACATCACAGCAGTTATTTGCCAGCCTATGAATATCAAAAAAATCAGAAGCTGGTCACACTGTAGTTTGCTGCCCTGCAGAAGACAGAGGTAACAAACAATACTAGTATATTTGTCTTCTGGAAACACTGAAACCTACATTCCTGAAACTGGGATACCTTCTGCAGACAATGAGATATGCTCTGCAGACACCTGCCTTCTCACTCTAACATCCAGAACTTGCTCATGTAATTCCAGTAGAAAACCTTACAGCATAAGGGACTTATATACAAGGCAGTCTGCTGAACTTACTGTACAGTATAACACTACCACGTCTCTTAAGTCTGACATGCAGTTTAGGGCATACAATCTTGAATATCCTAATCACTCATACAGCTACTGATCTGAAATTAAGGCAGGCATCTGAAATCCAGTAAGAAAAACTATAACCTCACTGCTGCTTGGTTATTATGACCTTATTAAGCTTCAATACACTTAAACCATGTATATACTTCCAGAAAATGTGCTGAACAGATGTGTTTATTGTTCAAAGGCATCTGTTCAACTGGATAGAGGAAAAAATCAACATTCTTATAAAACCCTATTCATAGCGGAGACCAACTCAAGGAGAAAAAGAAATACTAGTTCATCTCAGAAACACATAAGAACACACAAACATTTTTCGCAGTGAAAACCCTAAATGGGAATGTACACAATGTACCGCACTCTGTATTGCACTCCACACTCTCTGTTCTCTTCAGCAGACCCACAGCTGAACTGTACATGATAACCCTTTGTGAAGAACATAAATCAGTTGTTCAATCACATGAATAAAAGAGACAGCAGACACAAAAAAATTACAACAGTGCTCTGTATGCAGACAGCAACAAAACACAGCCAAAACCTTACTTCCAAGTCTTCTTCTTTTACAGCATTAAGTTTATTGAAATCATAAATAATGGAATCATAACAAATAACTTTAATTCTAACTTACCTACTGGAGTTTCTGTGAACACAGTTAAGGTCTGTCCTCCCACACTTTGCAAAAGAAATGGATGTTCCCTTGGTGCACTGACTGAAGCAGGTTTTCCTCCAATATCATTGATGCTTGCAAGCTCTTCATTCAAAGTAAATGACACCTAACAGTCACAATTGCCAGCGTTACTAAACAGACTCAATTACACTGTTTTACTAGTTACAGGGAAACAAAAAGAGAGAAAATACAAGTAGTATAGCATATTTCCATTTCAAAAACATAACAAGTGGGATAAGAGTCCTAGATTAATCTCTTGTTGAAATACAGAATTTAAAGCTTTCATGTACTTAATAAAATTTACTCAACTTTTAAAAAATTGTAAATTACCTCCTCCTTAAGTCAGAGAACAATTTGATTAAAATGTAAGGCATAATAAGTTTTCAGCCATTGCACAGTATGAGTGCTTAAAAATGTTTCACACAGCCAGCTGAGTTCCAGAAAAAGTGCTAAAGTATCACAAGTGTTATTAGCCTGGGACTCCTGAATTTCATACAGCCTGGAAGAGATTTAAACATGGCTCCTTTGCTAAGGAGTGGGGGACTGGGCAACCAGAATCACAGGCCACAGAAAGAAACTTGAAGAGGGATTTTTCAGACCAGCACTGTGTGCTTCTCCTGTGCATCCAACAGCCTTTAGCACTAACACATCTCAAAACGTTTAGAAAGAATGTTGTCACTATGATTGCTGCTTACAGATGGGTAAACAAACTGAGGGAACAGACAGACCAGATGGAAGTCCCACAGTAAGTCTACAGGCAGAACTACTAGCAGAGTTCTCTCCTCATGATTCTATGGTACAGGTGTAACAAAAAGTATGTGACATTAGAAACCAACATGCTCTAAACAATTTTTAGAATTCAAAATATAAACATTCATAGTCTTTTTAATTAGTAAATACTCACTTCCGTTCTTCCTTGATTTCTGCAAAAGAAAATATTTAAATATTTAAATATTTAATAAGTATATAAATATTTAAAATATTTAACAACGTTTCCATAACCTAATTCCTCAAGTTTAGCTTTCCTGATAAAAAAGAAAATTCAAATTCTAGCTTTGTTACTCATCTTCACTCCTGAGCTGCTCAACATTTTTTTTATTCTGGTGCCCAAGAATACACGTGAAAAGTCAGCACATGAGAACAGAAGCAGCAAAACACATGTAAGTTAAAGAAAATTCTCCAGTTACATTTCTTAGGTTTAAGAAACCAAACATCATGTAATGGGATACAGTGACTCCCTAGCATAATTTTGTACAATTTATATTCCTAATCATATACGAGCAAGTACCATTCAGGTATCAGAGAAATATGTACATTGTTGGCAAGAAACTGGATTATGTATTACAATAGCTGCAACTATTTTACTGCAGGTAACTTCTTCTAATAAATGAAACCAGTAAAGGTATACTAAAGGCTTACTTGACAATCCTTAGTTTTCCCACTTCACCTCTTCCTGAAGCTTTATTCCACTGTTGTGACAGGTATTTGGGGACCTAATCAAAGAAGACAGATTTCACAAAAAGTAGATTTTAAAATTCTGTATTAATTGCGTATGTGTATATTCTTCAAATGCTTTTACCCTGACCACTTCAGAACACAGTATGAGGTAAATGAATATAGAGTCATAGAATGGTTTGGGTTGGAAGGGGTCTTAACAGTCATCTAAGCCCAATCTTCCTGCAATGAGCAGGGACATCTGCAACCAGATCAGGTTGCTTAAAGCCTCATCCAACCTGACCTTGAATGTTTCCACAACTTCTCTGGGCAACCTCTGCCAGTGTTTCACTAGCCTCTCTCCAGGAAAAAAAAAAACCATGAACCAAACAATCACAGTGATGAGAATATAGAGAACTACAAGTCAAAGACCAAAAGGTGTCTCTGAAGGGAAGGCTTAGAGTTTGGAAACCTCAGAAATGCTGAGCAGCAGATCACAGCCCCACTCTACGAGATGTCCATTTCACCAACAGCAGAACTACCTGAGGCAAATCTGCCTCCCATCACTCATTCCCACACCTCCACTGTATGGGGAAAAGTCTTTGTGCAGTTGGTCATTATACAGAAAACAGACCAATCTGCCTGGGAGATGTGGGGGACTTCCATGTTTTAGCTGTGCTGATTTTGTATTTAGCGGGTGGAACAACCAAATGAGCTTCTCAACCCATTTTCCCAAACATGCACAAATTAGAGGTCAGTACAAGGACAGGAATAAGGAGGCTTAACGTGACACATCCAAGAATTAAAAGCTGTTCCAGTGATGTTAACTCACCTACACACAAATTCCTTCAGTTACAAAGATTTTGGTATCTGCAGCATCGATTGACCTGGGCTCATAATGGACAATAAAGGCCTCTGGGAAGTAGTGTGCTCTTCAGAACTTTGCAGCAATGTTCTTTACTGTACAGCAAAGCTTATTGTGGCTCACACAGTCCATAGCTACTGAAAACATCTGTGCTTACGTAGAAAAATGGTGTGAGGCACAGCCAACGAGAAACACACTAAGCTATGCCTGTGGTATTTTCTGTTTCAAGCAGTAAAGAAGCACTTTGAAGTCTGACTTTGCATAGAATAAAACAAAACCAAGTTTCACTACAGAGCTGAGAAGGCAAAGATGATGGTCCAAGAACTTGTTGACAAAAAGAAACCTGCTAACTTCCTAAAGCTCAAATTAATTTAACACTAACTTTGCATTTACCTATTCTTCAAAAACTCCAGAAGATATCCTGGAACTGGTGTTTAGCACTTTCCTTTAGACTCACAGCACTCCTATAAAGTACTGTGGAATACCTAGAAAATCCAGATGTCCTCCAACTGTTCAGACTAACTGAATGTCAGTCCAGGTTCCCATAAAGTTCAGACAGTGGGTCAGAAAAGACCACAAAAGCACAATAGAGAGCCATGAACTGGCACCATCTATTAATATATATTTTTCCACAGTTTTCAAAGTAGTAATTTCCTACAGCAGATTCCATACCAGATCACATATAATTCTCTTTCTAAGGCCAAGATAAATGCTATGACATGTGCTCCAGTTGACTCAATAGAAATATTATTATGTACTTGCACCTAACCTGTATTTAAGTTATACTGCCAGGTAGTAAGGCAGACGCACATTCAGTGTGAGTGCACAAGGAGTAAAGGACAGTCATGCTCTTAAAATCACTGACTTGCTATGTAATATATTCAGACAGGAAATTTATTTAAGAGGTGGCAGATCAATCATGCTTTTTTCAGTTGCAAGGGAAAGAGCCTCAAAGAGTGCATTTAATCATCTTTCTGCTGGCCTACCTGCAATCAAGGGCTATGCAGAGAAAGACAAAGGGTTATGAAGGACTGTGATCAAAGGATTACTTCCAGCTATCCACAGATACTTCAGATAAAACCAGACAGTACTCACAAAACCACATAATAAACTCTGGAATACCACACTAATGTCATAAACAATTACAGGAAAGATTAAATAAAGTCTTACACGCTGTAGACATCTTATTTTGCCCCTTTTTCCTAACTTCAGCATAATAAAAGTTTAACTTATGGAGAAGAGTCAGTTTTCAAACTCTTAATACCTGAAAGAGCATATGGAAAACAAGAGCAACCTGCTTTTACAGAGCAGAATTTTCAAAGATCCCACAACAGGATTAAGGCTACTGAACGTTTTCAAGACAAGAGGCCTTTATTCTGAGGTTTGTTGGTAAGAATACTCTTCTCTCAAAAAAAAATATACACTTTAATCACTAGAACAAATCTGACGTACTAAGGAGCATCACTTCAAGACCTCTTCACACTGCTGCTTTCCTCTTGCTACTCACATTGCACAAACACGCTCAGGCTCCAGTACACAATGCACCCTGCAGACAGTGTATGACATGAGGGCTGCTGCTTCACACATCTTTCAGCTTATTCACAGCTTCCTATCCACCTTCAAGAGAAAACACAAAAGTAGCCCCTACCTATAACAAACTACTTCCACTTTTCTGTAAGAAACTAAATTAGCTCTTTCTCTATATAGCAATCCATATGCAGTGTGTACATCAGAAACTGAGTAAGGCTGCTGTCAGGTTCTATGTTTTAATTTTCCTTTGAACATACAAAAATAATTACATAAAGATATCATCTTTCTAACTATAGATAAGTGCAGCACATTAAATAAAAAAAACCTGACCAACACACAGGGAATAAAAAATTGACAATTCTACCGGCTAACACTAAATGGGCTTCACTTTACCACAAGTACATAACTAAAAGTTCTTATAGTATTTCTCTATATTAGCAGAAAAAAATACAGCTGCTTTCTGGACTTGTACTAAAGCAACTCACTCTACGGTACCTCCTTTTACTGCTCATGTTTCTAAAACACTCATCAATGCGTTTTTATTGCCTGTTAAGTAGTCTCCCTGGAATAATTCCCATGCTAGCAGAATGCATGCTAAAAGGAAATCAAATAAGTCAGGTTTTTTATTCCATCAGAACTGATTGCTCCCTCCCTCAAAGGAAGAATAAATTCAGCCTCATTATCCCAGCTAGTGAAGACAGTACCTGTACTGTGCCTCTGAGTGTTTTAGAAGTCCTACTAACAAGGATGATTGTTTCAAAGTTCAAGTCTGAAGGAAATCAAAGGATAAAATCGTGCATGTCCCTTGTTATGGTCCATCAGTGTTAGCCACATTTTAATATTTTTTTATTATCACTATTATACAAGAAGACAGACAAATGATAAGCTCAGAACACATACACAAAGGATTACATTAACACTTACTTGGAAGAGTAATCTTTAAGCGTTCGTTTTAGTCCCATTTTCTCTTTAAACCAGGCAGCGCTCTCTACTCACAGAGTGGTACCAACTGTAAGCAGGCACGTGCCTGAAAATTCCTGGCTTGCTTTAAGAAACACCAAACTGTATCAGACTAGAGGACAAGTAAGTTTAGTGTCCTGTCTCCAAATGCAGCCAACAGTGGATACTTCAGGAAAAACAGGAGAAAATACGAAGAAAAGATATTTCCCCAGCATGCTCTTCTAATTTCTAGGATGTTTTAGCAGACTTGGGTTATTGCAGCATATTTATTTTTAATCCCTCAATTCAATTTTCTTGCCTGAACTTGATTAATGGCGTTTGAGCTTCTGCAATTTTGAAATTCACAACTTCTTATTGCAACAAGTTCCAAAATTTAACTAGATATTGTGCAAAATGGTACCTGCTTTGTTTGCTCCAAGCCGCATCAGTCGAATTAATGACACACCTCTAATTCTTGTGTTCAAAATGACTCTTTCCTATTCATTTTTGCCTATTCACTTCTTCCTTGTCCACACATGACATTACTTATTACTTCAGATCTCTATAAGATCTCCAAACTAGTCCTCTTGCCAACCTGAAAGGTAATAACATATTTAGGAGCTCCCTCCACAGCCATCATTCCTTGTTCCCAAGACAATCCCTGGTACTCTCCTCCGTACTGTTTCTAGGTCACTGTACACTTTCCACAGTGGGGAGGAGGAGACCACAAATACATAGAGCATTCCAAATAGAGGCAACATGATGGTGCAATAATATTTTCTCTTTTGTTTTCTGTATCCTTTGTAATCACGTCCAATGTTGACTCTGCTCATCTGACATGACATTCCTAGAGTTACCCACATATACTGAAAACCTAAATTTCTTCTTGAATGACAACAACCAGCAGAGACCAAACTGCTGTGTATGTATAAGTAGGATAATGCTTCTCTCTGCACGTCAGATTAGATTTTTCAACTCTATCTGCCATTTTATCATCCTGTCACTTGGTGTATCATGATATACTTCTGCAGCTTTCTCCTGTCAGCTTTCCTTGATACTGCCTTGGGTAGCTATTACAATTATAGCATTATGCAGCATTTATTGTGGTTTCATGACACTCGGGTGGCAGTACAAGACACACCAGAGACTCCAGTGTCATTACAAAAGAGGGAGACAGAGGCAGCGATCTGCCCACCAAAAATTCTGCACAGCAAATCAAGTCTGAAATTCCCCATCATTTATAAGGGCCATAATAAGATGTTTTGGTAGCTGAAGTATGATGATGTCACGCGTCCCTCACCACCCAGGACCAGTATTTGGGTACCACCCTGTCCCCACAGGTTCTTTGAAGTGGATGGTCTGAGCCTGTTCCTAAAGGAGGAAGGAGAGGAAGCGCCAGACATAAGTGTGGCCCTGCATCAGACAGGTCTGATTTGATGATCTCAGTATCTTTTCATAGCCCCTTCACTACAGCTGTACTTCTCCAGCACCAAAGGGAGCTGTAGTGACAAGATACTGACATTCACTTTCCTTACTGGTTTTTGGTTTTTTGGGGGGTTTTTGTGGGTTTTTTTTGGGCGCACTCAAACTCTCCTCAAGCCTCAGAGTTTTGGGGAAATAAAGTTACGCTGCCATGTTTGTTACTTGTAACAAAGCACCAGCCAAGGACAAGGACGAGATTTTTTACTGTGACGGTGGTGACACACTGGCACAGGTTGCCCAAGAAGGTTTGTGGCTGTCCCACCCCTGGAACTGTTCAAGGCCAGGCTCGATGTGGCCCTCAGCAACCTGGTCTAGAGACAGATGTTCCTGCCCATGGCGGGTGGGGGGAGGTTGGGTTGGGGAGGGGTTGGGCCAGATAACCGTTAAAGCCCATCCCGACCCTTTCACATTCCACGATTCTATGACGGCCCCCGGTACCCAGCTTTCCCTGCGGTGCTTCCTTCACTCAGCAGGTATCCGGGCCCAGTCCCGCGCTGTCCTCGAGAAGAGGCACCGGGGGGGGCGGCTGCCCCGGGGCACAGGGCAAGCCTGACGCGGGCAGCCCGGCCTCAGGCTGCGGGGACCCGCCGGCAGCACCCCGGGCACAGCGGGGCGGGGACGAGCGGAGGGGCCCGGCCGTCACAGGCCGCGCTGGGCCGGGCCCGCGGCGCGCCGGCGGCTCCTCACCTTCACCAGCCACATGCCCGTGTTCTGCTTGGCGCCGGTGAGGTCTAGCTCGGCCCTGTCGCTCATGGCGGGGCCGGGCGGGCACAGCGCGGGCCGATCCGGCAGCGAGAGGGGCGGCAGCAGAGCACACCCGGCAGACGGCGGCCCGCGGCGGACAAACTCCTCTCGCACTGCGCGGAGGGGCGGGCCCTCACTGTGTCCGTCAGGGCCGCGGGTTCGAGTCCCCGCCCTGGCGGGGCCTCGAGGAGGGGCCGGTTCCGGTGGCGGCCGCAGAAAGTTGCAGAATCGCGCAACCACAGAATATTCTGAGCTGGGAGGGACCCACAAGGATCATCGAGTCCAGCTCCTGGCCCTGCACAGGACACCCCCAAGAATCCCACCATGTGCCTGAGAGTGTTGTCCAAACACTTCTTGAACTCTGTGAGGCTTGGTGCTGTGACCACTTCCCTGGGGAGCCTGTTCCAGCGCTCAGCCACCTTCTGGCTGAAAACCCTTGTCCCAGTATCCAACCTAAATCTCCACTAACTCAGCTTCAGGCCATTCCGTCCAGTCCTATTAGAGCTCACCACAGAGAAGAGATCAGTGTCTGATCCTCCTCTTCCCTTCATGAGGAAGTTGTGGACTGCAATGAGGTCTCCCCTCAATCTCCTCTTCTCCAGGCTGAAAACACCAAGTGACCTCAGCTGCTCCTTATACAGCTTCCCCTCTAGGCCCTCCACCCCCTCAGTAGCCCTCCTTTGGACACTCCTGAGTAGCTTTATACCATTATCTTGTGGTGCCCAAAACTCCACCCAGATTATAGATGAGGCTGCACCAGTGCAGGGTAGAGTGGGAAGTTATTCTCTCCCTGTACAGGATAAGTTATCCAAGCACACTGAAGAACGACAGCAGCATGCGAAATGATCTAGGGGAACTGGAGGAGCAGCCTGGAGAGAGGAGGCATCGCCATGACAGTACTCTTCTGCATGAAAGGGAAATGGCCAGTAGAGGACCAGCTCCCAGGAAAAGGGTCAGAGCATCATAGTGTGCCCAAAGGTCACAAAAGTGAGGAAAACACAGTTGGTGAATCGCTTTCCTTGGATAAAAAGTAAAGAATTAAGCTTAGCTTTCCGCAAAGGGAACTCATGGGGTAGTGTTGGAACAGGGTGTTTGAAGGTGGGATAGTGTCTCGAACACTGAAAATGTTCTGTATCAGGAGAGAGCAAGTGCTTGCCCATCCTGCTTTGAAGTGGGGCGTATTTGGCTTAGAAAAACCTCTTTAAGTCCTTACTTTATGACTGTCCCTATGCATGGAGAAGTTTTCCTCTTTGCAATTTGAACTTGTTATTTCTCTTCTATCCATTGTGTTCACAAGAAAGGCATGGACTTTGGTTGGTCCTCAGGTTGCCCAGAGAAGCTGTGGATGCCCCATCCCTGACAATGTTCAAGGCCAGGTTGGACAGGGCTCTGAGCAACTTGGTCTAGTGGGTGGCATCCCTTCCCATGTCAGAGAGGTTGGAACTAGATGATCTTTAAGGTCCCTTCCAACCAAAACCACTCTATGATCCCGTGATTCTATGGCATAGAAAGCATTTTATTGCCTTCCTCTCTGCAGTTTTACTTTATCCCTTCACTATTTCCCTTTGGTTTGCCTCCACTTATAGTAAATAACCCCAGTTCGTTCAGCTCTGCCTCATAGGTCATATTTTCTAGACCTCTGGTCATGCCCATTGCTCTTTGAAATCCCCCCCAGTACAGATTTACATCCTCCTTGAAGTCTGATTGCTCAATATGAAGATTGTACTCCATCTGAGGCTGTACCAGCAGCAAGCAGAGAGTTCTTCTGGTACAATATGCAAGAAATTGCTCATCTAGCTTGCAGAAAATGATCTCAATATTATATCTCAGATATGATTGTCTGCCTTTCTATTTATAGGCAAGCATCTAGGTAACCAAGGAGGGCAATGCTTTTATGTATATCTGAAGAAATAACAGCTAACATTGAACTATTATGATTAAGATTAATTAAAATTAAAAACTACTTTTGCTTTTACATTGGAACTGTATTTATCTGCAGAACTCACCTGGGTGGGTGGGTTGAGCTTAATATTATTAGTCAGCTTTCAGTAGAAATTCAGATTTTATTAAGACAACCTTTCACAGACATACCAGATCATCTCCTTAAATGCTAACAAAAATGGAAGCAGATGCATCTTAACAATTGTAAAACCAGCCACGATTCCTAGGACTGTGCCACTTCCAAATATTGTAGGTCTAAGACCCTTAGGTTTTGTTCACCTAAAAAAAGGATGGATCTACACAGACAAACACCATCATTTTGCAGTTTGCTTTGGGTCCTACTCATAGAATCATAGAATAGTTTGAGTTAGAAGCAACCTTAAAGATCATTTAGTTCAAAACCCCTTGCCCTGCGCAGGGAAACCTTTCACTAGACCAGGTTGCTCAGGGCTCCATCCAACCTGGCCTTGAACATTTCTAGGGATGGGGCATCCACAGCTTCTCTGGACAACTTGTTCCAAAGTCTGACTACCCTCATTTTAAAACATTTCTAAACTTACCCTTTTTGCACCTTGTTCTTTCACTACAGGCCCTGGATAAAAAGTTTCTCCATCTTTCTTGTAGGCCCCTTTTATGTACTGAAAGGTCACGATAAGGTCTCCCTAAAGCTTCTCCAGGCCCCCAGCTCCCTCAGCCTGTCTTCATAGAGGAGGTGCTCTAGCCCTCTAACCATTTTAGCATCCTTCCTCTGGACCAGCTCCAACAGGTCTGTGTCTGCCTTGTGCTGGGAACCCCAGAGCTCGATGCAGTACCCCAGGTGGGATCTCAAATATTCCCCCAGGAAAAACACTGAATTAACAACAAAGTTGTCCCTCTGCCACCACTCCCAGCTCAATCTGTGTGCTCAGATCACACCCGCCACCACTTTTCAAAAAGAAAAAACAGTGGAGTGGATGTTTCTAACAGGAGTGACATTTACAGCAAAGTGGAGTCACGGGTTTACAGATGAGCCTGTGCTCCACCAGATGGGCCATGGAAGAAGAGGAGCTCCACTTGTAAGCAGCTCAGTGGCAGGTGACAGGAGCACGGCTGACCACCTCAGACTCCTTGGAGAAGGAATCATTCATATTCCAGGCAGAAAAGACAATAGTAAAAACCTCTATAAAAGCCTGGCAAATGGGGGTGGCTCAGCTGGCAACCCAGAGGGGAAGGCGGCCAGGCAGAGATCTCTCCTGGCTCCCTCCAGGCAGCCTTTCCGTACCTGTTTCCATGGAAACTGAATTTGAAGGGACAACAAGCAGGAAAAGAGTGCATTTTCATTAATTCATCATTTAAAATCTCAACCTTCTGTTTACCAGGGACACATTTAGTGCCATGGAGGAGGATTCAGGGGCCAGCTGCTGAGCAGCGGAGCTGTGAGTTAATCAACCATTTTCTTCTTGCAGGCATTGAAACAGATGTTATGCCTGAGGAGAGAGGTGGCCAAATTCAGACTTGCACAACCTTTCTCTCTTTTTTTTCCCTTGTCCAGTGAGGTGAGATAAAGAGTCTGCAACATCGTCAGCATTTCACAAAGTTTCTCTTTATCGTTTTTAGGACCGGGCTAATCACTGCATTCTAATGGTGCTGGGTGAAAACCAGCACAGCAGAAGAGGCAGAAGGCCTGATGCTGTCCTGTTGAAGCTGACGGGAGTTTTGCCAAGGGGAACTCGTGCTTTCCTCAAAAACTGGCAAGAATGAGGGGAGATGTGCTTCTGGAAGCTGGTGGTCCCATCTAAGATGTCAGTGATGGACACCATCAAAGAAGATCCACTGAAAACACTTCTTAGCAATAAAATGAAGCTCTTAGGGGGGAAAAAACCTGCTGGGTTTTTCCATAAGAGAGTATTCAAACCATTCAGTTGTATCCTCTGTGGAGAAATCCTTCTTTATAGCTAGATAACACTAAAGCAGGACACCTGGGAAGTCTCTTCAGCTTATTTTCCCAAGGGTGTCACCAGGGACAACACTCATGCACACACTGGTCACTGCTTTGTGACTCACAGGTTCCCACTGGAGGAAAGGAGATCTGGATATACAGGTAGAGAGCTGACCAGCAACCCCTGGAGGCTTTCTTTTCCTGAGCCTCCCTAATAGCACCAGAGGAACCTCCACAAAGACAGCTCTTGAAGATGTCATGATTCCTTTGCTCCAGCTTCACTGGTTTTAGTTGCAAGATGATTCGTAGAGTGATAGAATCATAGAATATGCTGAGTTGGAAGGGACCCATCAGGATCGTAAAGCCCAACTCCTGGCCCAGACTGGGACACCCTAAGGGTCACACCATGTGCCTGAGAGCATTGTCCAAGCACTTCTTGAACTCAGATAGGCTTGGTGGTGTGATCACTTTCCTGGGGAGCCTCTTCCTGTGCCCAACCACCCTCTGGGTGAAAAACTTTTTCCTAATATCCAACCTAAACCTCCTCCAACTCAGCTTCATGCTGTTTCCTCAAGTCCTGTCACTGGTCACCAGAGAGAAGAGATTGTTACTTACCCCTCTGCTTTCCCTTGTGACAATGTTGAAGACTGCAATGAAGTCTCCCCTCAGTCTCCTCCAGTCTGAACAGACCAAGTGACCTCAGCCACTGCTCATATGGCTTCCTCTCCAGACCTCTTCACCATCCTCATGACCCTCCTTTGGATGAGCTCTAATAGCTTAATGTCTTTTTTATCTTGTGGTGCTCAAAACTGCACACGGTACTTCAACACAGTTCTTATTCCCTGCCTGTCAGGAAGAAACTATGGGATGATGCTGTTTTAGAAACATCAGAGGTCTTGATGAAAACTACATTTTTAATATATTTTTCCTGGTGCAGAGAAAAACCTGGGGAAGTGAAGCAGTTGGTGTAGAAAAGAAAAAAAAAATAGGGCACAAAATAATTAACGTATTATAAGCTAATACAACACAGAGATCTGTTTTGCACTCTGTGCAGATGTCCCCAAGCATTCTAATTTGGATAGAGTAGCAGACGACAAACAGTTTTATACATCAGATTAAACAAATCAACTCTAATCACACTAAACTACAAGCACTGAATTATATCAAGCAGGTGGATCCCAACTTGTGTTTCAGTTTCTAAGCAAGGCAGAGTGCATGGAATTTAAA